TGAGAAAAATTGACCTGGGATTGTGATAACTTCAATGAACCTTTCCCAAAAGCTACGCCCGTATAGACATTGCTACGCATGTTGACACATCATGGCTGGATAATTCATTGTTTCAGTGAAGAATTGTAATGTCAGCTTGCGGGATCCAGTTTGTCTCTGTCTTTTGTTCCCAGACACCGTGTGGTGTTACGTACGTGATTATGCGCATTCGCGTGTATTATGGGCGTAGCACAAGTTTCACTCTAAATCCGGTTGTTTGGAAGAGCTGTCACGTTCAGAGCTGCACTGAGTATGCAGACAGCACATTCGTGCGTCTTGCTCGCTGGGCCCACAATCGCACTGGAGCTAACCGGGAGCCTGGTGAAGGCGGCAGGCCAGATGCCTGGGACGGCATTACGCCGACATACACGATGTTCGTCAACTGATCTCGTGCTCAGGTGGTCTCGGGGTTCCACGTCCGTGAGGAAGGACTCCGGTGATGAGCACCCTCCCCAACCCGAACATTGTCAAGTTTCTCTTCCTTCCCGGTTTGCGACTGCCAGCCCTCGTCACGGAGCCACTGCTGACGAGCCTTCATGACTTGCTAGACCCAGACAACGAGTCGCCTGTCATTCATCTTCTCCTATTCCTGCATCACCGCCCATGCCCTTCTTCTCGCTAAGTCTAAAGTACTCGATTCTCCACAACGTGGCGAGCGGCCTGGGTTACCTCCACGAGCGATCACTGCCCATCATTCACCGCGACTTGTCCGCCAGAAACGTTCTTCTGAACTCCGGGATGGTGGCCAAGATAGCACTGGGCGTGGCTCGTACTGCGCCTCGTTTGCAGCTGAGAGCTGCAGTCACCACGACCGAAGGACTGCCTCCAGATGCCGTGGAAAGCAAACCTGGTGAAGAAATCGAAGCAAGGTTTGATGCAAGCATCGACATAGCCTCTTTTGGCTGTTTGGCTATATCCACACTTACCCAAACCTTCTACAACTTGCTAGCCTCAACCTCTTATGAAGGTGTACAGAAAAAATTTCGAACTAAACTAGAGCAGCAAGAGAGAGGCATGAGAATGATCTACAGTCAGCTGCGTTGGAACCATCTTCTCCAGATGATCGAGGGTTGTCTAGACTCCCCCGAAAACCGACCAAGCATTTGTGAGGTGCTGCATCAGTTAGAGGAAGCTAGAGCTGAACTGAGTGATGAGCACACCGACACAAACAAACTGGAGCTGTTGCAAGTTCCTCAGACCCAGCCCAGCAACCAGGTGAGCGGCTTGTTCTATAGTGAGAGAGTGTTGCAAGTTGACTTGTGTTTCGTTAGGAGAATGTTGAGCTTGAGGGACAGCTGAGGAGAAAGGAAGCAGAGTTAGAGAGGCAACTGAGACAGAAGGTAAATGTGTGAGTCTATTAGCTGGTAGCAATCTCCCCTTGTGTTGGACTGCAGGAAGAGCAGGTATCGAAAACTCAGCAGCAACTAAAGTCCAGTGAGACAGCCAGAACACAGCTACAATCCAGGAACCAGGTATACAAAAAAAGGGCTGAAGTGCAAACCCTCGGTGCAAGGAACGCGTGCGCGTAGCGTTGATGTGTACTGCATTTTACGCATGTGCGTAAAACGCCGTTAATTGATGAGTCAGGCCAAGGTCTAACCCATCCACAGAGCCATAAGACAGGCTAGTGTGATTAGCGTGTAGAGCAGTGCTGGACTAGATACACATCACTTGAGTATCTTAATCCCTCAGTGGTGCGCTGATTGGGCTAAACCTGGTTGAGGTAAGCCTATGCATATCGGCCCTTGTTTATCCGGGTATAAAAGAGGGCATACCGGTACGGTATGAGTGCGCCGAGGGGTTATTTTATATTTTGATGGTGGGTGGTTTTTTTTACAGTGTGTGAACTCTACACACTCACCCAAGCATTCTTCATGATGATAACGGTGACAGCCACAGACAGAGCTCACATGAGGCAGTGTCTCGCTTCCTAGGTACATGAGGAGTGAGACACACGCCTTTCTCAATGCCATGTTGAAGATTGCACAAGTTGCGCTTCGAAACCCGAGAAACCTCGGAAGTGACGACTACCAAGAGACAGAGTTCGCAGGAAGCAGCGTCTTGCTTCCGAAAGAATTTAAAACATGCCTTCTCGCCGCTGTGCCGTGTGGTCGCTCCCGCTTGCCAAAAATGCTTAGCATTTTCACTGGTAGTAAAGGATGAGGATGTGGTTGTACAGCTTGGTATAACTGAGTAGCTTTGAGACCACATCTGATGTCCATAATGTATAACAGTACTTGGTTTGTAAGTGTGTCTGTTACCATGTTTAATCAGACACCTCGCACAACAAGCTAAGCAAAAGTGATTCCGACGACTTCAATACTGGCTTGATTTTAAAAATTTGGCGATTTTTGTAAAAATACTGTACGTGGTTATGGCGTGAAAAACCAAATTTTCACCGGCTTACCTCGACTGTATTCGACCTCTTTGTGTAATGTGGAGGCATTAGAATTACAACGGAGGTCAAGTGTAGAGTCTCACAATGCCTAAAATGCAACTCTCAGAGAGTTAGCTAGAGACCACTATTGCCCAGCCCATCAATTAGTGGTGCCGACCTGCGCAAGCGGAACGCATTAGTCGACATCCACTCGCGTCTTTAGCGCTGAGGGTTTGTACTTTTAGTGCTTTTCATTCCTAATAGGAGGTGTCTGAGCTCCAACAACAACTAGAATCTTGTGTGAGAGAGAAAGAGACAGTCATAGACGAGCTAAGAAGGAAGGAAAGAGAGTTGTCCGAGACTCACCAGCAACTTAGACAGAAGGTAAAAATAGTGATACAAGTGTCATGGTTTGTGACTAGGGGTCCTCCTGACTGCAGGAGGAACAGCTGCGATCAAGTGAGGCTCTAGTGGCTGAGTTTCAGAAGGTCCTCCAGCAAAGAGACACAAATACTCAGAAGACAAAGGTCAGTACTCACCCACTTTATGTGACTGTCTTCTTTGGGTAACCGAGAGTTAACCACGGACAGGTATGGTTTGGTGGGCAGTGCAGGGGCCACACCCTATGTACATGCATGCACCTGACTGCTAGGCTTGCTGGGCTGGTGAGTTCATGGGCGAGGTTGGCCACTTGACACGCCTCCTGCAGGGCCACTTCAGGGTTACGGGGTTGGCAGCCTTGCCTAGGCTTTCGCATACCCCTGAGACGCCATGGCCAGCGGGCCACCTCAGGATTAGTAGTAACTGGAGGATGGTGGAAGATTGCAGCCATGGAGTATCGACAGTCACGAAGCAACAACGTCTACTTACCAAAGCTATCTATTACATTATGTATACTGAGTATTAATTTGCATGAAACAATACACCATGTGATGCCAAGAGAAAAAGATGCTAGCTCTGGACAGCTGTTTCGGGCTTGTTGGCCCTCATCAGCAGAGCATACCGTAACTTCTCTCTCTGGCATCACGAGTTTATAAAGGCTAAGTTGAGCGCAGCACTTGTGTAATGAAAAGCACTGAAGTGCAAACCCTCGGCGAACTGCGCATGCGCGGTATATTGTATGCGTTTATTCGCGTCTCCCGTAGTATATAGCTCGCAGATGAGTTTTGACACGTGGCTAGCTACAGTATATCATTAGCCTGCGAGAGTCGATACACGCCCTCGTTGTGACTTCTTGTGCCTTCAAAATACACGAGCAAGCAGACCCGGTCTGCTAAATATAAGCACATGCGCATTTTCTGCAGTGATAAAAATGGCCGACTACGTATTAGCCGTACAATGGTGAAGCGCTCTAGCTTTGCAACGGAGCGTTTTCAGAGAAAACCGGTCGAAATTTCTGACCTTCATTGCCCGTTCGGTAGGTGGTATCCTTTGTGAGACGAAAGAACACTCGAGAAGTGAGATGAAGAGTAACAGACACACAGACAGACAGACCCAATGAAAAGCACTAAAGTGCAAACCCTCGGCGAACTGGGCATGCGAGGTACCACTGATTGATGGGCTGGGCTGCTATTAGTATGCGTTTACTCGTGGTCTCCCGCTAGTAGCTCGCAGAGAGTCTGACACGGGCTAGCTACAGTAGTAGATAGCATGTGAGAGTCGATACACGCCCTTCGTTGTGACTTCTTGTGCCTTCAAGATACACAGACACAGAACAAGCGGACCCGAGCCTGTTCAAAATATAAGCGCATGCGCCTTTTCCGCAGCGATAAAAATGGCCGACTAGCATTAGCCGTACAATGGCGGAAGCGCTCTAGCTCTGCAACGGAGCATTTTCAGAGAAAACGGTTCGAAAATTTCTGACCTTCATTGCCCGTTAGGTAGGTCGTATCCTTTGTGAGACGAACAGACACTCGAGAAGTGAGATTGAGAGTAACAGACACACACACACACACACACACACACACCCAACTACAGTACCCTCGCTGTGCATGCGCGCCGAGGTTAACTACTGTAACCCTCGCTGCGCATGCGCGCCGAGGGTTAATGAGATTCATCCCCACAAGGCTTTGCTCAGGCGCAGCGCTTTTGTTTCTGAACTAATGAGATTCATCCCCACAAGGCTTTGCCAGTACCGAGCCAAAACCCGAATTCAAAAATACTGACATAATGGATTGGGCCGCGGCATGAGAAAAAAGATGTGGAGCTCTGGATAGCTGTTTCGGGCTTGTTGGCCCATATCAGCAGAGCATACCACAACTTCGCTCTCTGGCATCACGAGTTTATAAAGGCTGACATGAGCGCAGCACTTGTGGTTCTGAACTAATGAGATTCATCCCCACAAGGCTTTGCCACTGGTATGTGCTGCTGGCCCCTCCCCACTCCTGCTGGTCAAGGTCAGCACCGAGCCAAAACCCGAATTCAAAATACTGGCATAGTAACTGTGTTGCTTGGGGTAGCCCCAGAACTCTCTTCACCTCTAGGTTCATGTGATTCTACCCCAAGCAACCGTTGACTACGTGTAAGATATTGCTGGATCAACTCATATAGTTGGACACAAAGAGAACATTGCATGATCATACACACAGGTGGTGGTGGAGCACGGGAAGACGCAAATGACAGAGTTGGAACACGTGACCTAGGGCCAAATCGAATGAGATCCTTGGGATCCCGTTGTTGACGATCCTTCCGGGTGGAAATGGCAAGTCCAGGATGAGCCGCCATTTGCCAGGTTGACGGCGTTTGGGTATCACCCCGAAACGACTTATCTGGCAGAATAATGCGAGCACTCTAGGTAATGGCCCCAGGACTCTGTTGGCTGCAGATTCCTTAGCTCAGACTGGTGCAGGATTGAGACGGGCTGATTGCATGTTGGCCTGTGCAGACTGCAGTGGACATGAGTGGTCAAACCCCAGATGGAAGCCCTCCAGCAGGCCTGAGATGAGGTCATTTCGGTAATGGTTGCGCAACAGTTGCGTAACCATTGCGTGGAGGTGGCGAATATAGTAGCAGAAACCCCTGTCTGGATGGCTGCACAAGGCCTCCTCCCATAGGAGAAGGGTGGTAATTGCTGCTAACCCCTCGATCGGCGGGAGAGGTGGAGGGCAAAAAGACTGGCTGTGCCTGGAGAGAGTGAGTAGGTCCTGCATGTAAGGATACACTCTGTTGATAATGGTTGAGAGTGTTGCAGTTGCAGCTGTGAAATGCGGAGATACATCACGGCTAAGGAGAGGTGACAAAGGAGAATAGGTGATTGGCGGCAAACTACTTAAATCGTATGTTGTCCCTTGGGGTTCGGAGATGTAATTCACAGTGGGAGTGGCCGAAGGGGGCCGTGAATCAACCAAGGGGGAGTCGTGTGTGCATGAAGCTGATGGAGAGGATTCGCTGCCATTACTGAGAGGTAGGGGACTTCTTACGAAAGGGCCGCTTGCCCTCGTCCCTTGAGGCTCATTCACGCCTATAGGGGGAGGAGCGCCTCGTCAGAGGGCAGTTTCAGGACTTGTGCGTCTGATGGCATTCCAAGCAGATGTGCTAAAATATGCAAGTCACTGAAGAACAGCTGGATCAGTTCCACCGCAAGCAAATAGGCCGCTCTCATGCTAAGCTCTTCTTCGACGATGACCCTGCCTGGGAACCAGATTGCTTCCCCATGCCGCTGCCTGATGTTGTGCCACTATCCGCCTCATATTCGTCACATGTCTGGGTGGTGTGGTCGAGGCTGAAGCACATTGCGTAGTGTGTACGTGGCGCAGCATTTGCAAACGCCAGCTGCCAGAGTGTTGGGTGAATTTCCGCCCACTTCTCTGAGGGAAAGACTGCTGCCTGCTTCCTAAAATTGCTGTCGTATTGAATCCAATCTTCGCAATGAGAGAGGAATAACCCAATAGGTCGTTTGTACGAGCTGTGCTCTGTGCCAGTACCAGTGCCAGTACCACGCTAGTGTAAGCGTTAAATATTCCACCCACTGTAAAATGTTGCTTATCCGCTTACTCTTTGCACCTGAGCCCAGCGACTCTTGTTGACCACCGAGCCTCACAGGTAAGAGCTCGGCCAAGTCAACATACTCCCCCTTCTGGATCTTTTGAAATATTTTCTGCGGAATGGGTGTGTTGTCCGGGCCTGTAGTTATTGACAAGGCTGGGGAGGCTGCAGAGCTAGTGCCTGGCTGTGACATCAGCAGGATGAACGCCGCTCACCAGGCCGCTAGCAGTGGTCACTGAGCCACCTGCCAGGCTGCTTGCCGTGGTCACTGTGCTGCCTGCGAGGCTTCTTGCCGTGGCTGCTTGCCAGTGAAAACAGGTATGTGCACCAGAGAGGGGGAGGTAATGCTGCGCTGCTAAGAACCTCCCCTCCCCCCAAAACAGTAATATATACCTGCTCCAGAGGCAACGGCGACTGCAGGAGAGGGGTGTAGGTGGGACTGAATTGTCGCCTAGATTCTCGTGTCCACACACTCAAGAGAAGAACCTGCATCGAAGAAGCCACCACCGTCTGCACCGAGTGAGAGACTATAGAGGTCACAACTGCCACTCGAGGTGCTTGGCAGGCTTGTGGTAGCCAGGGTGGAAGACTTGGTTGGAGGGGTGGTATATAGTAGACATGGTAGATCCTCAGAACTTTAACTAGTAACCCTTGCCATTCACTGGTGCACACCACGTGGCAAACAGCTCACAGTTGAGAGTGTGCATGCGTAAGGTAAACCCTCCCCCGCACTGCCCCCAGTGTCCTCGGTTAACCACGTTTAATGCAGGCATTAAACTCCAAAATGAAAAGCACTAAGTGCAAACCCTCGGCGCACTACTTAGAAATGCGCACACGTGAGTATACCGTAACCCTGTACTCCGTACGTTAAATGACGAATACATACATATGTATGAAGCAAGTCTCTACCGCTTGCTGGCTCTTGTTCTGCACTCTCTGGCGCTCTGGGTCTGTCTCCATTGAGTCATCGTTAAAAGCGCTCCACCATACGAACGAACATGAAAGCCAGAGCCGCGCTCACTCTAAAATAATTCCATAGTAACTACGCACTTGTAGAAAGCCTGGTGCCCCGGGGGTAGTGCACTCGGGGCACCATAATGCCGGGGCTCTCGGCTTTCTACTGTGCGTAGTTACCTCGAATAATCAGCGTCTAACTTTTGTGTATAATGACTTGTGGCGATAAGGCTCTGACTTAAGAAATGCAACAATAGCTTCCAATGCCCTCCTATTAGTAAGCATTCGTAAGTAATTTATGCAGTTTTGACTCCTAAGCCATGTTATACCGTAGATTCCTGATCCAACACTAATGAAAAGCACTAAAGTGCAAACCCTCGGCGCACTACGCATGCGCGGTATCGCTAATTGGGGCTAGGCTATGCAGTTACTTGTGGTCTCCCGCTAGTAGCTCGCAGAGAGTCTGACGGGCTAGCTACACTAGTAGATTGCATGTGGGAGTCGATACACGCCCTCTGTTGTAACTTCTTGTGCCTCCAAGGTACGCGGAGTAGGCAGATCAGTTCGAGGTAAGCCAGCGCGATTATGCATATTGGCTTTTTCGCTTTTTTCACGGCATATCTCTCGAACGCAGTCGTTTCAGGAAAATCGCCTAATATTCTTTCAGGTTCGCGTAGTTTTGAAGCCGTTGGTATCACTCATTGGCCACCTCGTAGCCTGTAGTGCCAGAATAAGCGGCGACACACAGACAGACACACAGACAGAACGACTACTGTAACCCTCGCTGCGCATGCGCACCGAGGGTTAATTATATATTATATATAGCTGCCGTGGTTACGCATACCCTCCTCTTTCTCATACATGCCATCAGAGTGCTCTCGAATGCAGCTTGTTGCACTGCCGTGGTTACACCCCAAGAAAGCCGCTTTCTCCTACACGCCATCCAAGCGCTGATCTTGATAAGCTGCTGTTTACCAATTACTCTCCCTAGCCCCCAGAAACACCACTATGGTTTTGAAAGATTACTCGGGTGGTGGCTCTACAACATAAAAGACAGCCTCAGCTATCAATGCATGCACACTTGGACGACGTACGTTCGTAAAAATTATAGGGGGAAATCATACTGAAGAAAGTTACTAGGTGGGCTCGCGCTCCGCTTTCCTAATCATGGTGTGCATTGTAACAAGGTCCTCCTGACTGCAGGGGACTGGGGCCCAGGACAAGGAACTACAAGTCAGTGGAAAAGAGAAGCAGACCACGATCAGAGACGAGCTAACACAACAACAAAGTGAAGGTAAACAGAGTTGACATATAGGGATGGCTCAAAGCATGATAAAGTAAGAAACAAGGGGTCATTACAGACACACAACGCTACATGACACAATCCCTACTTTGTCTGATATTATTTGCGTATCAATCAATAGGACAAAGATAGGGATAGTGTCATGTAGAGTTGTGTGTCTTAGCTGTGAAATGACCCCTTGTTTCTTCCCTTGAGCCATCCCTATATCCCCTTCATTTTGAAGAAATAATTTTTCTACTTGTTTCCACTATTTTTATGAAAATCTCTGACACACAATTGAAACGCAGAGGCTCTTGTCTAGCAATGCGTGCGGGGGTCTCGCGAAGTTTCTCCCCAAGCAAACAAATTGGTTAATGTCTCGCAGAGCCAGCCCGAGGTCTGGCTCCGCGCTGCAGCGATCGAGGCCGCACAACACTGCGCGCGTGTACGTGTGCGCGAGCATTAGGAAATGCCCCCTATTAAACACCCCTGAACTGCGGACTGATGAGTTAGCAACAAATGGAGTCGGTTTAGTGTCACTCTGGAAGACCTCCACGGTCTCCTGTAGCGACGTGCGACAACAAAGAAACGATCGCTTGGTGTCAGTGCACACTTCCGGCGAATCTAGAGACGTTCAGTGAAAAAATCAGCGCTTAAACTTGTTCCAGTAAGGAGATAGCGGGTTTAAAGAAGAAGATGAAGAATGTGAAGAATAATATGATGATGACACGAAAATCGCGAAATCGTGTATGAGCAAATTCTCGCGTGGAGGACTAAAGGTACGTATAAGGTCTTTGCACAATAAAGAGGGCGAACAAACTGATTGGTAGCGTTGTAGTCAGCGTCTGACACCATTATTCGCCGTTCTTGTAACCTCTTGTGCCTCCACTGTACTGTGCATGGAGCTGGCTGAATGCTATTGAGATTTTCACTTTCTTTTCACGCTACGACTTTTGAACACAGAGAAAATCACTTACTATGTGAGTTCGTTTTTGGTATGAATTATTACTCGAAAACTGAGATGTGGGACACATATGTACACAGAACGAATTCAGTAACCCTCACTGTACTGTGCACTAAGGGCTTATATAGAGTTCTGAATTATCTTGCTATTTTGTCTAGCTCCCGCAATAGACAAGAGGCTAAAACCAGAAAATTTCCATGACATTCTGGAAGAGATACTAGAAGTGAAAAACAAGGCGTTCTTGTTTGGGGTCAAATTGAAACTGCCAGTTGAGGAGGTGGAGGTGATTCATTCCCAATACCTGGATCCACTTGAGCGTCTGTCACACATCCTTCTTTCCTTCCTCAAAAAAATGGAGCCAAGACCAACATGGAGGGTCATTTTAGATGCTCTCACATCTCCTTTAATCAACCGACAAGCACTAGCTAGGAAAGTGGAGGCAGCTCATTTCCCTGACCCTACTTCAACACGTGACGTGGTACCTGAGACTACTACTGGTAAGTCACCATCACTCATCTCTGAATGGTGTGGTCACGTCTCTATTATCTCAGACACAGAGTCCACAGCCAACACCACTGCTGCTGGTGATGACGTCCCATCCTCTCAACTGAGCCCTGTCACTGGTGAGAGCTTTCATATGCATTTCCTAAATTATCCATCCAGGGTCCTGCCTCTTTCTTTCTGTTTATATGTTATTGTCTGTGTTTTTGTATGCTTGGGTATGTTATTGTCTTGTTTTGTGTGTTTGGGTGGGGGAGGTTCTTTCTTTTCCTCTGATATTATTCTTTTAGCTAGTATGCTATAAACATGTTTTTTCATGTGAACAATCTCAGACATCATTGAGGTGACGGAAATCGAAATCGATGGGTTAGTTGGAGTAGTAGCAGCAGACATTGTAGGATTCCGCCAGAGGTTCAACTCCATGAAGAAGTTAACACTCCAAGGCCTGGCGCAGTGTGGTGTTGCAGTTATGACGGTGGTGTACATTCTTACCAACATTCAAACAGTAGAGCACAGATTGTTTATGAAGAAGAATCTCAAGGATCTTCGTCAGTGTAAAGACCCTCTGGAATTGTTCGGACATCTAAATTTCTACTGGAACTACCTTGCATACGACCTGCTGGACCACATGATCACGGAATTGGCCAAGAAACATACGTTTTTCCAGAGCGTTGCTGGTGAGATGGCTGTCTACAAGAAAGATCTGCAGGTGTTCAGGAAATTCACACCATTGGTGTTGTTCTGTGAGGCTGATCCTCGCATACTGGATGAAGATCCACCACCTGGCTTCAGGAGGAAGGTGATAGAGTTTGACTGGCCTGAGACAGTGACGCTGGAAGATGTGGAGAACTTCAGGAGACGATATGCCAGCAGCTACAACCTTCAGACAACTGCTATGATGTTGAACAGCATCGGTATAGGAGAGTTGACTGGTGAATCCTCAGTATTGGAGATTTTGAGGAAGAAAAGAGCTCTGAAGGCCCTCAAGGAGTCAAGTGTTAGTGTGTATTACGTTTATTACAAACATTACTAAACCATTTTTCTACCATAGCAGGTAGCTCCTACAACTATCCACAGTCACAGTTCGGCAACTACTGATTCAGCTCATATGAAAAGGTAATGTAGGGTGATAACCAGGGTGCTTATATACCATAAATGAGACATGACATGCCGACTTGGACTACAATGACACTAACAACATGGGCTTTCCATTACTAGGCCGGTATTTATGGACTTGTTGTTCCTGGTAAACCTAATTGCTCTCTACAACTGTATTCCTATCACTGCACATCACAGTGAAAATGAAAGAAAGGTGCTTGACCAGAACACAGCAGCTTTGGGCTCAGTTAAACTATACCTGTAATTACGTATCTAACTGGTGAGGATCCACTGTAAGCAGGTTCGCTTTTGAGCGCTCGCAAAAATCATGCCATAATTCTAGAACAAAGCCTTCTCGAATTTCTGGCAAATTTAAATGCATAAAGAATCATTTACTGGTACTTGAGTCTCACTGGGGAAGCATAATAACAGACACAATTGACACCAACCGACTACCACATGCCTGCATTGTGAATGTGCACTGAGGCATTGGTGCTTCCAGCCGCCATCCGTGTAATCCCTACATGAGAAGGTTTGCACTTGCAAAATGTGGTGAGAGTTAAGATCCTTGGTCCACTTTATCTTATTCCTTTTATCAGAGAACCAGTGCAAATGTATACAGTTGACGAAGATGATTTCTTTGCCGAGAAGCCATCTGCTGACTACTACTGTCCAGTGACAAAGGGTCTACTACTCCAGCCTCACCTCACTTCATGTTGTGGTAATCATTTCTCTCGGGAAGTTGTTACCAGGATACAGAGAGAGAAAGGGGCATGTCCGCTGTGCAAGAAGCCGAGTTGGAGCGCATTTTTGAACAGACACTTCCAGCGTCAAGTAAAATCACTGCGTATGTTCTGCCGTCATGTGGACAGGGGGTGTGAGTGGCAGGGAGAGCTGGCTGCCTTTCACCGTCACTTGAAGTCTTGTCCCATGAAAGATGATCCACTTATGTAAGTCATAAGTCAGTGAGAGTGGGGGGTGGTCTATTTTATGCTAAAGTTTGTTTCTGTTTAAAATAGTAATGGAGCAAGGGCTATGACAAGCCATCAAGAAGCTAAAAGGGGAGTTATAGGAGAAAAGAAAGTGAAAGTGACAAATCAGGAACAGCTGATAGACTGGGAGGACCATGGCCTTAGACTTCACATACCGCACAACTCATTACCAGATGGTTGCAATCAGTTGGAACTCAAAATAGTCGCATCGAGAACAAGCCACTACAAGCTACCAACTGACGATGGTATTCTAGTCAGTACAGTCTATTCTTTTAGCCATGATCTTGGAGACAGAAAGTTGTGTCAGCCAGCCACCCTTGAAATACAGCACTGTGTTGCCAGCACTTCTTACACTCCACTTTGCATTGTCCAGTCTGATGAGATCGTTCCGCCCTACCAGTTCCAAACTCTGTCAGGGGGGAAGTTTGTCCACGGTGGTCGCTATGGCTCCATTGAACTAGACCATTTCTGCAGCTTCGGTGTCTACTTGCAGTGGTATGTTGCATCCCTGATCTGGGCTCTGAAACCTTGTGCAGCTCTCTACTACACCAACATTAAGCCTCGCAGCTTCCATTTCCACCTTTACATTGCCCCACACTTGAATGCTGTTTTAAAGGTTAGCTAAAGCCTCATCTTCATTGTGCATAGAGTTATGTACATTAATGCTCGGCAGGAGATTGATAAGGATGTCAAGGAAAAGAATAAGGATTGTGAATGGGGTGCAGTTTCACTGTTTGAATTTCTAGAGGAAGAACAAGAGTCCACCATTGAACTTGACTTACGAAAGCAACCACAGTCGGGATGGAAATTGAAACATCTCAGTCGTAATAAGGTGTGTTTCTCCCATATGTAAACATCAATGGCTGTATGGGATATAACTCCTCCACAGATAAAAGCAGGTGATGTAGTCAACATGCGATCATACCTGATTCCTTTCCAAGTCCGAGTGAGTTGGGCTGGAGGAGAGAGAAAGCCAGTGAGTCAACTGGAGTATGACACTGTTCTTACTGGAGCTGCAGACCATCATCTTACTGTTGTTTCTCCGGACTACTGTGGTACGTAGCTAGTTATAATGGGAAATTCAGTATTAAATACTGAATTTCCCATTATAACTAGCTACATAAAATTTTTATGTACTTAGCTACATAAAATTTTTATGTAGCTAAGTACAGGAAACTTTGACAATAAAAAAAAGCAATTTGTTGCCTTTTCATTGGCTGGTAAAGATGGCATAAAAGAGATTACGGCAATATTAGGGCTTACAGGCTCTCTTCCCGTAAAAAAGGCCACCTATCTCATGGTCCCTGTTCATCCTGTTAGCACACGTTCCACTGTAACCTAATGTGACATTATCAGTCAATCCTCCATGTCGTGTAGTGACTTCCGAGTCCAGCACCTTCAGCACCACTCCCAATGGTACGTGTCAGTGATATAATTATTATACTGCAGTTAGCTACAGTACATTTTTTACCTTAGATTTCGTGTTTTTCCCGGAGCCAAAGCTCCCTGATCTGGTGGAAATAGTTGGTGTGGTTGCTCAATCTAAGTGGAGGGAAATTGGTCTTGGACTGGGGCTGGAAAATTTACTGGACAGCATACAGGAATCAAACAAGTACGGTGTTAACCCGGTGCAGAGCTGCATGACAAAGGTTTTTGACACTTGGTGCACGGGTGAGACATGTGAGTACTCCTGGAAGAAGCTGGCTGAAGTTCTGTGTTCCCAGAGTGTGAACATGTCGGGAATTCTTCCAGATATCCGGGCTAAACTAATTGCTAAATGCAAGTATGTATAATATTGCCTGCTTATTGAAACTTCAAAAGTTGGGTTGTTATCGTACACGCAGACGGATAAGCATAACACAGATTGTGGCTCTTGCAGGTTTCTTCAGACAGCCAGCCTGAGTTGGAGCCGTTCAAGGCTCCCTCTGTCACCAAAATGTTTGTAAGAGCGAGTGCGGAGGAGGTTGCGGCAAAGCTGATGAGAGACTAGCCAGGTCTATCCAGTAACTGCTATTGCTCACCATTTACTACCACCAGCGCTGCTAGCCAGGTCATGGATCAATGTCACACCCCCAGGGGCAAATTAGAGAGGTTAATCCCCACCCTAATCCCATCCTATTGGTAGGGCAGAGGACGGTGGGCGGCTCACGATTAAGTGATCGTGAGGACGTGTGCCGTTAGAGATGTGGTTCGTCATGGCGTGCAGCAGGTCCACGTGAGAGCACGCTTGAGCCTGTGTAGGAAGGCATGCGGATGCACTTGTGCGGAAAAAAACAAAGTTTGGACCTTTTGTCAGCTAATTTTGAGGGCTGGAGGAGCTGCAGAAAGTCTGGCACGTTTTTGAGAAATAAATAAAAACCAGACGCACTAAAAATTCCCACAGTATTGCCAACTACGTGAGCTCGACAGGAAGGTATGCGTTTTCTTTACCCATGACATGTCTGTTTTGGAGGTGAAGTGGTAAAAATGGCGCATTTTATACAATTTTCTGCATTCTACAGCCATTTTGGAGGATAGAAGGAACTCTGTGTTTTAAAAGTGGCGAATATAGGGATTGCAAGGAGACAAGACAGGGATGACCTAGTGATGTGATGCAGTAGCAGTAGTACAGCTGGATAGATGGCCGACATTCATGAAAAATTTCCTCCATACAAGCCCTATATTGTCGCGAAGTACAGAGACACCCACAAACGGTAGCTCTCTCTCTCTTAGCTGGCTGCAGCAGCTGCGTCAGATCGCCACAGGTGCGCACCGTTTAGAATATGTATCGCCGTTGTCGTGGCAATTAACCCGCGGTGAACCCGCCGCGCGCACGTGCACGTTTCACGTTTAACTCTTTCCCCGCTACGCTTATTATTCCTCGACGTCGTGGGAAAACGTTCTATTTCAACCGCCATCTAGCTGGAGGCGCTGGGGGAGCTCGATCAGCAGATGAGGACACACTGAAGAGAACAAATGGTGTGCCAGAATCTTCTTGAAATCATGTGAATTGCGCTCTCTCCCTCCTTTCCCTCTCTCCCTCCCCCCTCTCCCTCTGCAGTCGGCCATATTCAGTTTCCAGAGTCTGCTGGTCGTCATTCTGCTGCTCATCTGTACCTGTACCTACATCCACTCACTGTTCCCCAGAATTCTTGATGCCAACAAGACTGGGTACATAATGCATGTATTGTCGTACAGTGTGACCTCTTATTATTATTATAATAGACACTATAAATAAAGGACAAATCTTATACTTGTGTTAATAAGGATTATGTGTTGTTGAAGGTCTAAAGCATATGTGACCTACAGCTAGCGAAAACCAAATACCACCCAAGAATACTCACATCAGCAACTCAACTGGAGTCTACCATCAAACAATACAGTGGAACCCCCGAACAAGGGACAATATGGGGCCAACAGTTTTGCCCCTTTTGGAGAGGTCGCCCCTATCACGGAGGTCAAACGTTACACTAAATAGCATGGGGTTAGAACAAGTGTCCTTTGTAGAGAGGTCCCTATCTCAGGGAGTCCCTTAACGATGGTTCCACTGTATGGTCCCTATTTTCTACAGAACGTTTTTGCTATTATTATATATAGCAGGAAGAAAGAAAGTATATAGGACCAGTTGGCACATTGAGGGTTTATTGTGCGTCATATTATTATTGTGCCCATGACAATTCTTCCTGATTCAGACTGAGAGGGACGTTTTGGAAGTGTGCGAGGATTGGAGAGAGACTAAGTCCCTACATGTCAGTCTGCTGCATCTCAATGGCCCTCTACATGCTCTTCATGAGTGACTAATACACACACACACACACACACACTCCTCCTCCCTCCTCCCCTTCACCCATTCATCCCGCATAACACATTCAGAGAACAGAGGAATTTCAATATTTCACTATCTTCATAAATAATAATAATGGAAATGCTTGTATTGTGATACACTTTTGTCTGGTGCCCTTGTACATTATGATGTTTACAGGTCGTGAATATCAGACGCTAGTTTCCGGTCCATTATTTCCACTACTTGTTCCGCTACTAGAGCTACCAGTGTCTTCGTCGGTCGTTCTGATTGAAGAAATGGAGGGACTCTCATTTCCACTGATTGACAGGGAGTCACCCATCTGTCTGTTGATGGAGGGAGGCAGGCCGGCACCGAGGATTGTACACAGTAGAATGGTGAGACCAAAGATGAGGAATATGAGGTAGTAGTTGACCGGGAACCCGACATGGCGAGCTCCACGAGATATCGAGAGGGAGAATATAGTGCCCGAGAACACTGGAGATATCGTTCTGTAGTGGGCATGTGTGGAAAAGGTACAAATAATACACAAAACTCATTTTCAATTTCTCCAATGGCAGCATGCAACCTTCGGTTAAACTGCCAAATATGATACCATTTTTTTTACCAAACATATCGGTACCAAATCGACCTGCAACCATACATACCCACTCGCCAATTGGTGAAGGCATAATACAGTGGAGCCCAGGCTACCAGACATACCTTTATATAGATACACACACCCCTCTACGAAAACCATATGCTCATGTAAACCCCTCTCTGACCTGAGTAAGGAGGTGAGAGAATGAGCAAGTCCGTTGACCTCTCCCAGTTTCTCAAAGACCACAGAGTTGTTGGTAAAGAGAGCCGTCGCAGCAAAGACGTTTCCGGCGGCCAAACGAATCACAAACAACACCAGAATGATGTAGCACCATCGGAGAGGGTTTCTGGATGGGGAGAAGTGCGAGTGAGAGAGAGAGGGGAAGGACGTGAAGAGCCTGTCAACTTTAGGGAGAAACATGATTGTGTAATTGGGGAACTACGCACCAAACATTCACAGATTTCTTTTTCTGCTATAAATATGGTCCACAACTCTGCAAGGAAAATTTTAACAAATGGCACTTACAACAAACGTTTGCTCCCTTAAAAATTGTACTGTGTGTTAGCC